GGAGTAGTGAAGATGTGCATCGAAGTGTGATTCACGGGGTCAGCGACCTGGACCGACCTAGCTGCACACACAGGGGTGCTTGGTGGGTCCCAGCGTGGGATGGGCCCCGCACGGCCAGGTCAGCTAAGATTTGCTGAGCACCTCCTGTGTGCGCAGGCCTTAGGATGCCTCAGTCAGAATAAAACGAGTCCCCATCCTGGTCGAGCTTATGGCCTCGGTGGGAAACAGACGGGATAACTGCTCTCGGACGTCAGGCTGAGAAGTGCTAGTGGGCAAAGACAAAGAGCCGGCGAGGCGGGGCCGGGGCGGGGCGGAGGGACCTGTGTCAGAGGCCACGTCGGAGCAGAGGAGCAGGCTGCGCGGGCAGAACACTTCCCACGGAGGGAGTGGTGGGAGCCCCGCAAGCCGGGAAGGGACGGAGAAGGGGTGCAGGGCCCGGGGGCTTGCTGGCCATCGGAGGGGCTCAGGCTCTCGCTCCACGTGCCTTGGGCTCCACGTGAGGGTTTGAGGGACACAGTCTGCCTGGACACCCGAGGGTCACTGGCTGCGTCGCTCAAGGGAGACCAGGGTGTTAGGAGTGGTCAGGGTCTGGAAATGCCCTGAGGATACTGATGTCGAAACTAATATTTTTGAGACATGGAAACATGGTGGTGATATGTTTAGCTGAAAAAGGAGTGAGTTTTTTATAAGGCCCAATTTTTGAGTGTAAAAAAGTAACGGGGGGAGTCATGGTAATGGTTTTCACCAAAATGTACCAAGTATTTACCTCTGATTCAAGGGGACTTATTTTTATTTTGGCCTACGTACGTAAGCACTTTTTAGTTCTGTGAAAGTGAAACAACTTTTCCTTGTTTCTCTGTGTAGTTTACTGCATGTCCATCACTCCAGTGGGAGCATTCATTTGCCTTGCATTTTAGAGATAATAACGTATAGTTTGTACTTGACTATGTCTACAAAGTGCCTCTTCACTTGGTCTCTGTAGCTAATTGTATGTCCAGCCTGCGAGAAGGCAAGATGCTTTGAAGTCCAGGATTTCATTTTGATTTTCTCTCGGCTCCATCTTGGGGCAGAGTGTCCCTGAGTGCTTATTCAGTGAGTTGTTCTGACTCTTCTGAGCAGTGGCTGGGCGTCTTCCAAAACATTTTTTTTCCTGCTAAATCTGCAGAGGTTTATTATTAGCACGACTGAAAGACCAGGAACGTCTGATCTTTCGGGTTCTTATGTCATCTGCCTCGCATTTTCTGTTCCTGCTGCCTCCCCAGATACTCTCCCCAGACCATCAGAAAGTTCTCGACTTGGGTTCGTAGAAGTTGTAGTCTCCGGATGCGCTTTGCCCTCCCCGCTGTCAGTACTGCAACTAGATCAGCAGCCTTTTACATAAGCAGTTCTGTCTTGTCCCTGTGGAGTCACGGAGTCAGGTCCCTCGGGTTCAGCGGCCCTGAGCAGGCTGGGGAGGAGGCCCATCAGCACCTGGGGCCGACCCAGCCCATGCGGACCAGGACCGGGGCGAGGCCTCTCCGACAAAGCCCCGCGTCGTCGTCGTCGTCGCAAAGAGTGTATGAATAGTCACTAGGAATCGGTTACTTTCTCAGGGCTAGGCAGTGATGGGTAAGGGCCGGGTTCCTGAAGGACAGTTTCTAACCTCTTAAACCGGGTTGAATTCAAGTAAACCCGAGGTCCGGAAATGGATGCTGGGAACCCCGAGGGTAAACCCAGGCAGCATCTTTTAAGTCAGCGCCTCTAGGAGTGGTTTTGGCAGACCACCTGGAGGTTGGGAGGGTCGAGAATGTTCATTCTGTTCCACTCCTTTGCAAGTCACTGCCTTTGATCTTCACCGGGGCTCGAGAAAGGGTTCCCGCAAGATGTGTCTTAGGCTCAGGAGGTAGGAGTGCACCAGAGCTGAGGCCCCCGTGACTCAGGATTGCCGCTCTTGGCTACAGGGCGCTCTCCAGGTGCTGGTTTGTGCAGGTAGATCATCTTTGAATTCTGAGAATGTTGTCCCAGTGAAATCTGAGGGGTGAAACACAGAAACCCACAGAGAACATCTCAAAGGAAGAGTGGCTTCCAGTAGCAGCTTCAGAATTTGTAATCTAAGTGAAAAGCTACAGAAACAGAATAGGAAAGCTGAGGAAATACATTCTAATCTTGTTTATCTAGATTAAGAAATTTCAGCGTCTGTCTGCATCTTGGTGTTTATTCCCTTTTCACAGAGTTCCAGCGGTCGCCTCCTGGAGTTGAGCCCCGGGCGCGTGTGCCGGGCCCGGCCTCATGTCCCGCAGGCCTGGAACAGCACCGGCACCAGTAGGCATTCCGGTATTGATGGGATGTGTGAATAAGTAAGAGGAAGAAAGTCTGACAGAACTGGAAAACCAGATTTTAATTTTGACGATCTTGCAAGCAAAATGTTTTTCATGCTTCAAGAACACAGAGGTCAGGACTCTGCTGAGCAGGAAGACAGCCTAACCCTGTGTTCCTGGCAGCCAGCCCTGGGCTGGGAGGCTCAGAGGGAGGACAGATGGCTCACCTGCCGCTGTGTGCTGCCAGCGCCCTTGCCAGCGTGGAGGGGCAGGTGGAGCCTGGACTCAGGAAAGAGGATGGCTGGAGGAGCTGCCGTGATCCCCGGGGAAGGTGTTCAGGGTGAATTGTTTCGCTTGGGGCCACCCAGGGAGTCGGTCAGGAGTTGCAACACTTGTTTCCTTACGTAGAGTCATTCATACAGTTTGGGGGTTTCATGAGCAGCAATTCTCTGTTCATTATTCTGTGTAACTGAAAACACGTGGGTCTGATTTCTGCCTGCCGTCAGTGGAGACTGAGGACCGGCCTCTCACAGCGCAGTGTTGACTCTGAGCGCGGCGCGGGTTGGCCGGCTTGTGCACGTGGTCGCCCTGCACGGGCGGCGCCCAGCCGCAGGGAGCCTGGGTTTCTGCTGTTGGAAGGAGGAGTCCCTTCTCTGAAGTAAAGTCGGAGTGATCAGAGGGTTTTATTTCCCAGCCTGTCTCTGTAGGACATCAGATAAACTGCCTTGGCGGGGAGAAGCCAGCGCCGGAGGAGTTGGCCCTGGAGTTAGCGTTCCAGGCTTTGGAGGGCCGGGGTCGATGTCAAGGACGTTGTGTAGGTACCATATAACAAGAAAGAAAACAAACATCCACCAGTTTTTTAGTGATAATTTCAGGCTACTGTAATAATGACAATTGAGTATAATTTTTTTTTACTGTTTCAAGCATTTTATTTATTTTTTGAATTTTTTATTGAAGTGAATTGATTTACAGTGTTCGTTGCAGGTGTACAGCAAAGTGATTCAGTTACACGTCTACATATTTTCTTCTTTTCAGGTTCTTTTTCATTATTTATATTTTATTGCAAGAAACTGAATCTAGTTCCCTGTGCTATACAGTAGGTCCTCGTCGGGGTATAGTGTTTTATAACACGGGTATACTGCGGGAAAGAAAGGATCTCTTCTGTGGGGAGGGGCACTCACTCAACTAGGGTGCACAGTTCATGTTCTTACCATGGAATCGAGTGTGGGTATTTCTGTCTGAGAACCGTTCTTGGCTCACAAGCCAGGCAAGGTCAGAAAGGAGGCCGGAGTCCCTGCCCCTCCCCGTGGCTGCGCCGCAGGCGGGTGGCGTCCCCTCCACCCTGGGTGGCTCTGGACTAGGGAGGCGTGCCCGGGGAGAAGCTACCATTCATCTCTTGCTGTCATGGTGTGCTGGCTGCTCACCAGAGTTCATCTCAGAAGAATGTGGGGCCTCGGGTGACCTCAGAATAAAGGTGAACACTGAAGCTTTGAGTCTGCCTGCAGGTACGAGCAGTGACCTGCAGGCTGTCTGCCTGGTTCGTCTGCCCGTGTGAGCGGGCTCCTCCGTCTTGTCGTCGTCTTGGCTGCTTGTGAAAGAGCCTTGCCTTTGCCATGAACAGACTCAGAACCCAGAAAGATGTGCTTCCCAGCAGGTCGTTTCTGAGTCCACCTGGGCCAGCTTTCAGACTGCTGGATAAAGTGACACTTTGACATTAAATTTCTCCTGTTTCTGAATTATATTTCATACCTTTTCAAACTGTAGTCAAGGAAAAATCCAGATGACTCACATGGAGCCAAAGCGGACTTTGTCGCCCCCACGCGTGGCTTACGGCTGACTTAACACCCCTCTGCCCTCGCTCACCAAGCACCAGCCTCTCTGATGTGTTTTGTCAGAAGCGCTGGCCCCAGGGCCTTTGCTTCCCTTCCACTGGGAAGTCTCGTTCTGCCGCTTGCCGTGTGGCCGGCTCCTGCCTGTCCTCAGGGTCAGCTGACGTGGCACCTCTGTGGCCTTCCCTGACCGCCCTGGGTGCAGCTGCCTCCTTCACGCTGCTTTCGGCCGAGTATCGACTGCCTTTGGAGCTCGGAGCCTGAGGCTGGGTTGCAGGCTTTTCGCTTACCTTCCTGTTGACCCGTGCGCTGCGGTTCTCTGGGAGCAAGCGCGCCCCACGAGGGCCGGGCCCAGCTGCCCGTCTTGGCTGCGTGTGCGGCACCCACCGCGGTGCGGGCACCTGGCGTCTCTGCACCCACTGAGCTGGGCCGAGGGGGCTGCCGTGGGAGGGAAACGGGTTCCTCGTCAGGTGCAGGGGGCCTGCTGTGGGCGCTGAAAATAAAAGCTCATTGTGCTTGGAGGGCGTGTGGCCTCCCGGGGCTGCACAGAAGCCATCTCAGCCGGGGTGGGGGGTGCCTTGGGAAACACAGGAAGGGTGCAGTGGGGTCTGGGGGGAAGTCCGGAATCCTCTCCGCAAGTGTGCCACACAAGCCTGGTGACCATGTGCAGCTGGAAGGCTCCCACCTGTGAGGACCTCACACCTGCCTGGGGAGCTGACACGGCGCCGTTTCCAGGGCCTCCAGCCCTGAGGTTCTGTGAGATTCTGGGCTGGGAAAGACACAGGAAAAGGAAACAAGGAATTCCGTGCTGGGGGTTGCAGTTTTAAATAGGATGGTCAGGCGAGGCCTCCCTGAGAAGGTGACTCTCCAATAGCGAAGACTTCACGTATGCAAAGGATATGCCCTGACGGTTTCTGTTTGTGCCTCTGCCCTCGTTTGTGAACCTGGACGAAGGTGAGAGGGGCCCTCATTCTGGGTCATGAATTGTCTTTAATTCAGGTTATGGGGTTTCCGAGTGACACGTGCTGACCCGCCTGAGTCGGGACAGCCGCGGGGAGCCGTGAGTGTGCTGTTCTGAGCGCTCGCCGACCCCGCGCAGCCCAGCCTTGGCCCGCCCGGTGTAGACACGGCTCCTCACTCAGTCTCCATCCCTGTGTGACCACCCAGCAGCCTCTGCGAGACAGGCAGGGACAGCCGGGGACCACATG